GGGGGGAGGTCAGGACAGGTGTGGTCACAGGGGAGGTCAGGACAGGTGTGGTCACGGGGGGAGGTCAGGGCAGGTGTGGTCACGGGGGAAGGTCAGGGCAGGTGTGGTCACAGGGGAGGTCAGGACAGGTGTGGTCACAGGGGAGGTCAGGACAGGTGTGATCACAGGGGGAGGTCTGGACAGGTGTGGTCACAGGGGGAGGTCAGGGCAGGTGTGATTACAGGGGAAGGTCAGGACAGGTGTGGTCACAGGGGGAGGTCAGGGCAGGTGTGATCACAGGGGAGGTCAGGACAGGTGTGGTCACAGGGGGAGGTCAGGACAGGTGTGGTCACGGGGGGAGGTCAGGGCAGGTGTGGTCACAGGGGAGGTCAGGACAGGTGTGGTCACAGGGGAAAGTCAGGGCAGGTGTGGTCACGGGAGAAGGTCAGGGCAGGTGTGATTACAGGGGGAGGTCTGGACAGGTGTGGTCACGGAGGGAGGTCAGGACAGGTGTGGTCACAGGGGAGGTCAGGACAGGTGTGGTCACAGGGGGAGGTCAGGGCAGGTGTGGTCACGGGGGGAGGTCAGGGCAGGTGTGGTCACAGGGGGAGGTCAGGACAGGTGTGGTCACAGGGGAGGTCAGGACAGGTGTGGTCACGGGGGGAGGTCAGGGCAGGTGTGGTCACGGGAGAAGGTCAGGGCAGGTGTGATTACAGGGGGAGGTCTGGACAGGTGTGGTCACGGAGGGAGGTCAGGACAGGTGTGGTCACAGGGGAGGTCAGGACAGGTGTGGTCACAGGGGGAGGTCAGGGCAGGTGTGATCACAGGGGGAGGTCAGGGCAGGTGTGATTACAGGGGGAGGTCAGGGCAGGTGTGATTACAGGGGGAGGTCAGGGCAGGTGTGGTCACAGGGGAGGTCAGGACAGGTGTGATCACAGGGGGAGGTCAGGGCAGGTGTGGTCACGGGAGAAGGTCAGGGCAGGTGTGATTACAGGGGGAGGTCTGGACAGGTGTGGTCACGGAGGGAGGTCAGGACAGGTGTGGTCACAGGGGAGGTCAGGACAGGTGTGGTCACAGGGGGAGGTCAGGGCAGGTGTGGTCACGGGGGGAGGTCAGGGCAGGTGTGGTCACAGGGGGAGGTCAGGACAGGTGTGGTCACGGGGGGAGGTCAGGGCAGGTGTGGTCACGGGGGGAGGTCAGGACAGGTGTGGTCACAGGGGAGGTCAGGACAGGTGTGGTCACGGGGGGAGGTCAGGGCAGGTGTGGTCACGGGGGAAGGTCAGGGCAGGTGTGGTCACGGGGGAAGGTCAGGGCAGGTGTGGTCACAGGGGAGGTCAGGACAGGTGTGGTCACAGGGGAGGTCAGGACAGGTGTGATCACAGGGGGAGGTCTGGACAGGTGTGGTCACAGGGGGAGGTCAGGGCAGGTGTGATTACAGGGGAAGGTCAGGACAGGTGTGGTCACAGGGGGAGGTCAGGGCAGGTGTGATCACAGGGGAGGTCAGGACAGGTGTGGTCACAGGGGGAGGTCAGGACAGGTGTGGTCACGGGGGGAGGTCAGGGCAGGTGTGGTCACAGGGGAGGTCAGGACAGGTGTGGTCACAGGGGAAAGTCAGGGCAGGTGTGGTCACGGGAGAAGGTCAGGGCAGGTGTGATTACAGGGGGAGGTCTGGACAGGTGTGGTCACGGAGGGAGGTCAGGACAGGTGTGGTCACAGGGGAGGTCAGGACAGGTGTGGTCACAGGGGGAGGTCAGGACAGGTGTGGTCACGGGGGGAGGTCAGGGCAGGTGTGGTCACGGGGGGAGGTCAGGGCAGGTGTGGTCACAGGGGGAGGTCAGGACAGGTGTGGTCACAGGGGAGGTCAGGACAGGTGTGGTCACAGGGGGAGGTCAGGGCAGGTGTGGTCACGGGGGGAGGTCAGGGCAGGTGTGGTCACGGAGGGAGGTCAGGACAGGTGTGGTCACAGGGGGAGGTCAGGACAGGTGTGGTCACGGGGGGAGGTCAGGACAGGTGTGGTCACAGGGGAGGTCAGGACAGGTGTGGTCACGGGGGGAGGTCAGGGCAGGTGTGGTCACGGGGGAAGGTCAGGGCAGGTGTGATCACAGGGGAGGTCAGGGCAGGTGTGATCACAGGGGGAGGTCAGGGCAGGTGTGATCACAGGGGAGGTCAGGGCAGGTGTGGTCACAGGGGAGGTCAGGGCAGGTGTGATTACAGGGGGAGGTCTGGACAGGTGTGGTCACAGGGGGAGGTCAGGACAGGTGTGATCACAGGGGGAGGTCAGGGCAGGTGTGGTCATGGGGGAAGGTCGGGCAGGTGTGGTCACGGGGGCGGTCAGGACAGGTGTGGTCATGGGGGCAAGGTCAGGACAGGTGTGGTCATGGGGGCAAGGTCAGGACAGGTATGGTCACGGGAGAGGTCAGGACAGGTGTGGTAATGGGGGGAAGATCGGGCAGGTGTGCAGAGCCTGGCTGGGACTGTGTCACCTGCTCAGTCACAGACAAGGAGAATCGACCTGGGCAGGAGTCCTCTGCTCGCCTGGGCTTTGCATTTCCCTTGAGAAGGCCTGGCCTGGTCCCCAAGGACGTCACAAGGACAAAACTCAGGGCCTCACAGGTGACACAGGAGGAGGACTGCAGGCAGGAGGCGCTCAGCAGGTCCCACGTGCCTGCCGGTCGCTGGAATCTAACTTCCTGATGCTTCAGGGGCAGCGCCCTCCTGACCAGGGGAGCACAGCCCACTCCACCCGCTTCCTCGGCCGACGCAGGCGCAGCCACGGGGACGCCCCTGTGAGCTCAGCACCCCTGGGCACACACCCCTGTGACCTCTGTGACCCTCACACACACCCCTGTGACCTCCGCGCCCCTCACACACACCTGTGACCTCCGCGCCCCTCACACACACCCCTGTGACCTCCGCGCCCCTCACACAACTGTGACCTCCGCGCCCCTCACACACACACCTGTGACCTCCGCGCCCCTCACACACACACCTGTGACCTCCGCGCCCCTCACACACACCCCTGTGACCTCTGTGACCCTCACACACACACCTGTGACCTCCGCGCCCCTCACACACACCCCTGTGACCTCCGCGCCCCTCACACACACCTGTGACCTCCGCGCCCCTCACACACACCCCTGTGACCTCCGCGCCCCTCACACACCTGTGACCTCCGCGCCCCTCACACACACACCTGTGACCTCCGCGCCCCTCACACACACACCTGTGACCTCTGCTCCCCTCACACACACACCTGTGACCTCCGCGTCCCCACACACACCCCTCTGACCTCCGCGCCCCTCACACACACCCCTGTGACCTCCGCGCCCCTCACACACACCCCTGTGACCTCCGCGCCCCTCACACACACCCCTGTGACCACCGCGCCCCTCACACACCTGTGACCTCCGCTCCCCTCACACACACACCTGTGACCTCCGCGCCCCTCACACACACCCCTGTGACCTCTGTGACCCTCACACACACACCTGTGACCTCCGCACCCCTCACACACACCCCTGTGACCTCCGCGCCCCTCACACACACCTGTGACCTCCGCGCCCCTCACACACACCCCTGTGACCTCCGCGCCCCTCACACACCTGTGACCTCCGCGCCCCTCACACACACACCTGTGACCTCCGCGCCCCTCACACACACACCTGTGACCTCTGTGCCCCTCACACACACACCTGTGACCTCCGCGCCCCCACACACACCCCTCTGACCTCCGCGCCCCTCACACACACCCCTGTGACCTCCGCGCCCCTCACACACACCCCTGTGACCTCCGCGCCCCTCACACACACCCCTGTGACCTCCGCGCCCCTCACACACACCCCTGTGACCTCCGCGCCCCTCACACACACCCCTGTGACCTCCGCGCCCCTCACACACACCCCTGTGACCTCCGCGCCCCTCACACACACCTGTGACCTCTGCGCCCCTCACACACACGCCTGTGACCTTTGCGCCCCCACACACACACGCCTGTGACCTCCACTCCCTTCACACACACACACCTGTGACCTCCGCTCCCCTCACACACACACCTGTGACCTCCACTCCCCTCACACACACACCTGTGACCTCTGCGCCCCTCACACACACACCTGTGACCTCCGCGCCCCCCCCACACACACCTGTGACCTCTGCGCCCCTCACACACACGCCTGTGACCTTTGCGCCCCCACACACACACGCCTGTGACCTCCACTCCCTTCACACACACACACCTGTGACCTCCGCTCCCCTCACACACACACCTGTGACCTCCACTCCCCTCACACACACACCTGTGACCTCTGCGCCCCTCACACACACACCTGTGACCTCCGCGCCCCCCCCACACACACCTGTGACCTCTGCGCCCCTCACACACACGCCTGTGACCTCTGCGCCCCTCACACACACGCCTGTGACCTTTGCGCCCCTCACACACACACGCCTGTGACCTCCACTCCCTTCACACACACACACCTGTGACCTCCGCTCCCCTCACACACACACCTGTGACCTCCACTCCCCTCACACACACACCTGTGACCTCTGCGCCCCTCACACACACACCTGTGACCTCCGCGCCCCCCCCACACACACCTGTGACCTCTGCGCCCCTCACACACACGCCTGTGACCTCTGCGCCCCTCACACACACGCCTGTGACCTTTGCGCCCCCCCCACACACACCTGTGACCTCCGCTCCCCTCACACACACACCTGTGACCTCCGCGCCCCTCACACACACACCTGTGACCTCTGTGCCCCTCACACACACACACCTGTGACCTCCGCGCCCCCCCCACACACACCTGTGACCTCCGCGCCCCTCACACACACGCCTGTGACCTTTGCGCCCCTCACACACACATACTACGAGGGGCCTGCCTGACCTCCAGGCCTTCCAGGGACATCACTCCCCACCCCTGTGAGGGACTGGGGGTCTTAGTGAGGGTCAGCTAGGAAACAATCAGGGGGTCCTCGGACTCAGGCTGGGCTCAGCTCCAGCCTGTGCCTCTGACCAGGGAGTGGCCGTAGGCCCGATGTCCCCCTGGGGATGGGCCTCCAGCCCCATCACTGCTCAGGGGCAGCTGCCCCCTGCGAGACCCAGAGGGGATAAGTGTGGCCTTCCTCAGGGTCACCAAAGAGCTGGCTGTCCACTCAGTGTCCAGCCCCAGAGCCCGAGGGCCCCACGGGGGCACCGCACGGCCTTCAGATCCACTTTGCACGCTCAGCCCCTATGAGCTCCAGCTCAGGATGTGAAGGAGAGCTGAGCGCAGAGGTCGGAGGTCATGGTGTGCTCCTTGGAGAAACACAGGCAGCCTCGGACCCTGTGTGGGGTTTGGGACCACCTGGGCCCCCCACGAGGTGACCTCCTGGCCCCAGGTCACCCCTGACACGCAGCCACGCAGGGTCAGATGCTCAGAGGAGCCGTCTTCCTGACGCGTGGAGCGGCATTCACCCCTGGCCAGCCCGTCCCTTCGGTTATCAGACACCCCAAGCTCCGGGCACTCTATGCTTTTAGTTATCCTGCCAATGACAACCTTCCTGTCTCTTTTCTGAAAACAGGCCTGGGGCCCGTCGGGAGACAGAAAGGATGTTTCGTCTCCATCACACCGGCAGCCAGCACCACTGGTTTTTAATTACTGCAGACCCCGAGGGTGCTTCTCGTCTGCTTCTGACGGGAACCAATAAACTCGTCCATCTACGTCTGAGTGATGCGACCCGAAGCCCCGGGGTCTCAGGAGGTTCAAACTGTCCGTCAGCCCCGGAGCCAGGCAGGGCCGCTGCCTGGAGCAGAGGAGGTGACCTCCCCCAGGCCCAGGACTGCTCCGGGCCCTGCGGCTGCCCTTGCAGCCAGGGAGCAGGGCGGACAGGTCAGTGGTCAGCCGTCCTGGGGGCTCTGAGGGCGGACTCTGAAGTGTCCCATGCCGACCGCAGGCACCGTCAACAGACACCTGCTGAGCAGGAAAGGGCTGGAAACAGGTCTGAGGTTTTCCTACAACTGTGAGAAATGTACCTGATGGTTTTAATTGCATTGGCCAAGGGCTGCCGAAATCTCCCCGAAGCAGCGAAGGAAAGCCTGTCCAGGGGGCCCAGGCCTGGCAGCCACGGCTGTGGCCTCGAGTGTCCGGAGCCCCCATGCCCCCGCCTGCCCCGGGGACCGTCCAGTCGTCCTGGGGACCCAGGAGCCGGAGGGAGGCAGCGGGCCCCCAGGGCCCGCTGCAGCGCCTTCCGGGAAGGCCTCCAGGAGGCTCCCAGCTCTGTGGGTGACGTACACTTTTCATACCTCACTGAGAATTAAGAACCACAAAGACCTCATTTAACAGCACAGCATGTCACGCTTTTCACCTTCGCTGCGGTTTCACGTCGTCCATCCAGGGTCCTTCTCCCAGCTCAGAATCGGGCGCCGCCAGTTTGGCACCCACCCCAAGCACACGCGGCCGGGACATGGCTGTCACGGGGCGGCCGGGACATGGCTGTCACGGGGCGGCCGCGAGCGGCCCTGCCCGCAGAAACGCAGCTGTTCAGACACAGGCGTCTTTGTTTCCCTGAGTCTCCTCGGCAACAGATAACCGGGGCTGCAGACTCACTCGCGGAGACTGATTCTGGGAACAGCGTTATTTTTACTTCTGTCTTGGATCCATCTCGCCGCCTCCCTGCCCCTGCCCCACCCCAGCCCCACAGCCCGCACCCCGCACACAGGCGCATCAATCACTAAGTCAGGCCTGGGGCTGACCCGAGGCCATCGGGACGCACGGGCGTGTCTGGGGCCAGGGCTGCCGCTACAGAGCAGGGGTCAGCGCCCAGAGGCTGGCCCAGCTGCCGGGCCGTCCAGCAGGACCCGTGCGGATCCAAGGAGATGTGGAGGTCGGAGCCCGGTCTCACAGGGGCCCCGCCCACAGAGCAGGTGTCCAGACAGACGGGGGTCCTTGTAAACACACGCACACACCCTCCTGTGCGGGCCAGGGTGAAGGGCCGTCACTCAGCCCCCAAGACGACAGTGGGGTCACCGTACGTCTGACCCCAGGCACGGGCGGCGGGGGCCAAGCCCAGACATCCATCATCCGCCCCCAAGAAGGCCATGAAGGGCGGCCATGGGGCTTCCACCTGCTCCTGTAAAACTCTGAGAAGAGCCCTGGTTGTCAGCGGACCCTGAGCCCATGTTCGCATCTTCCAGACTGTCTTACAGCTTTTAGTTTCTCTTTAGATCAGGTCTAAGGTCCCGAGCATGACTGTCCACGTCTCTCTCTCTGCACACTTTTGTGGAGAGACGAGCTCCTTTGTTTCTGTGTCTGGCTTTGTGGTGGAGCCCAGCGCACTCGTGTGTCTGCAGGTGACACCCCCATCCCCAGGCGGCCGGGTCCCACGGCGGACGCTACTGGGACGGTCGTGCCTACATCACCCGGGTCGCGGGGCTGCAGCACACATCGGTCCCTGTCCTGCTCCCATCTGGACGCTCCCTAAGGGCGTCCTCACGCCCGCTGTCTCCGTCGTCTCCCCAGTGCACACTCACAGGAAGACAGGGCGGGAATCCCCCTTTATGGACCCATTTTCGAAATCATGAGTTTGTCCCCTGGAATTCTCCAGTTGTGACTGATGCGTCCTGTCCTGACCTGTGACTGAGCTGGAGCTCCACTCAGCCTGCCGGAGCTCTCAGCCCCTCTGCGGGGGCCTCCTGGCCGCCCCCAGCCTGTGCCCCCGCCTGCCTCCCCGCCCCGAGGGGGCCAAGCGAGAGACAGAGCCCTCGGCTGTCAGGGGACGTCAGGCCCTGAGGCCTGGGGGCCACCAGGTGGAGACGGATCGCTCTCGGCCTTTCGGGGACATCAGACCCCAGGCCTAGGGGCCACCCAGGGGGTAAGGGGGCGGGTGACAGGACCATGGCCTCTGGGGAGCGGCCGGCAGGCGGGCCCATCCACATGGCAGGGCGCTGCCCGCCTCCCTTGGGGGCGCAGAGCGGCTGAAAGCCACGAGGCAGACGCCAGCCAACAGGGGCCCCCAGAACCCTGCAGGAGGTCAGCCCCGGGACAGGGAGACTGGAGCCTGGGCGCCGTCTGAGCTCGCTGGCCGCGGGCGGCTCCCTGGACACTCTGGAGGGGCCAGCGCCCAGGGCACCAGGTGGCCGCCAGCCACGCCGAGGCCTCCTGGGGCGGACGCCTCCAACGACCTGTGTCTGTGGCTCCATCCGAGCTCCGCGAGAACAGGGCCAACCTGTGGGCGACGCCCCCGCGGCCCGTCCAGAGCCGGCCCTTGGGAGGGTGCGGACCTCGGGGGTGTGTGCTGAAGCTCAGCGGGGGCGGGGGGCCACAGGGCCCAGGGCCCGGGCCTGCATCATCACAGGCCACCCCTGCGGGCCCGCGGGGCCTCCGCTCCCGAGGCCTTGCCCGCAGCCGGGGGCCTGCTTGCCGAGGTGCATGCTCTGGGCCTGCCGCCCCCAGCGCCCTGAGCCCACGCTCCTCAGGCGCCCCACCAGCAGCACGGGGCCTCGCAGGGGGGCGGGGTGGGCAGTGCTGTCCCGGGGCCTGCACCAGGCACAGATGGGGCTGAGGACAGGGGGCCCCCAGGTGGCTCCCCAGAGCGAGCCCCTCCCCCAGGCCCAGACCTCAGCTCCACAGGGTCTGTCCCGAGACACAGCCTGCAGGGCACACAGGGGACTGGCCTGGGCCCGCTTGTCCTCCCGGCTCCGCGCACTCCAGACCCCCGGTCCTGGGCCCTCTGGCAGCTGTCACCGAGTCCGAGCTCACTGCCTGCCGCACGACAGGTCAAAGAACCCAAGAGACTAGGTGTTGAGGCAAGAAAGAGACTTACTGGGGAGACGGCAGGCCGAGAAGATGGCAGGCTAACACCTCAAAATAACCATCTTACAGGGTCTGGATGCCAGGTTGTTTTACAGATCAGAGATGAGGGGAGGTGAGGAGGCAAAGTAAAAAGGCCACTAACCTTGCAAACATCTAGAAAGGCAAGCCTCAGGCAGGGATGTGTTCATTTCTTCCTTCCTGCCATCCACAGGTGGACAGGGTTCTGAACAAAGGCACTATAGTTTAACGGTCAGGCAGAGGGGCAGGATTCTCCTAGGCAAACCATTCTGTATGATTATTGTAACAAAACCAACGAAAAGCAAGTCAAAGAAACAGTTCCAACATGGAGTCAGGACTGGCTTCCTCCCTGCCACAGGGGGGCCACTGGTGACTTCTCTTCAGCATTGGAGCCACTGACTCCTCCAGGAAGGAAAAGGGAAGTGGACGTTGGCAGGAGGATTTGAAAGCCTGACGTTCGCAGGAGGATTTGAAAGCCTGATTCCATGGATCTTACTGTCTCCAAATTGCATTTGGAGGACGTGCTTCATCCGGAGTCTTGTCAGTGGTTTAGGAGGGACTCAGATTAAGACTCATGGCCAAGGGGTTCCCTGTGGAAACGGGGTCTGCTTGCAAGCAGTCCCCCCGGCTGTGTCTGGAGGGGGTCTGTGGGGGAGGGCAGACAGAGGTCCAGTCTGGCCTCTGTGTCAGTGTGGCCCAGGTCCTCACTCAGCCCGGGTCTGCCCCTGAGCAGCAGGCCTCTGTCCCCGTGTCTCTAATTAGAGGCACCGCGCAGGCTCGGTCAGGCCCAGGAGACGCCGCTCCGACTGCTGGGACCCGGGCCCTGCCCCTCCCTCCTGGGTTCTGGTTCTATCTCTGCCGCCCGTCTGCGACACCAGGCCGGCCCCCTAGTTGGTCTCCACAGCTGCCCCCACAAGCCCCGGGAGCTGGGGTGCCCAGCTGAGGCTGCAGCAAGGGGGGGCCAGGGGCTGTCCCACGGGAGGACCACACGCCCCTTCTCCCCACCAGGACCCACTCGTCCTGGACCGATGCGCCAGCCCTGGCATTGGGCTTCCTGCTGGGGAGCTCCTGCGGGGAACAGGGATGAAGCCGATGTTCAGGCTGGAGCCCACCACAGGGACAACTTCTGCCCGCCTGGAAGGAGGTGAGCAGAGAGGAGCTGACGGCAGCCCACATGGTCACCAAGGCCCATGGGGCTGCCCCTGGTGCCAGGAGCCTCTGCCCACAACTGTGGTCTCCAGGCAGCTCTGGGAAGGCTGGGCTAGGGGAGGGCATGTGAGCCCTTGGGTGCCCAGGGCGCCGGGCAGGTTTAGACAGGTGTCTGGGGCCACGGGGAAGGCCCAGGGCACAGGCAGAGGAGGTGAGGAGGGTTTGTGAGCCCCCGGGGGAGAGGACCCTGCAGCCAGTGGGACCTCAGTCCCTGAAGGGAGCGCAAGCTCCAGTGAGGGGAGAAGGGGCGCTGTGATCGCGAGCCTGCGGTGCCCGGAGGCCTCTGGGAGGCCAGGCAGGAGCTGGGAGGATCTGCTCCCCTGGCCCTGGACCAGCAGGACAGCGGGGTGTCCTGGCGGACTCTTCTGGCTGGGCTCCAGGCCCGCCCTCTGCCCACAGCCCTCAAGCCCCTTCTCTCGCCCCACCCAGCCCTGCCACTCCTGCGGACGGTTTGCGGTGCCAGTGGACTTTTTGCTCAAAGGTTAGGTCTGTGAGCCATATTTTGAAATAACAAGGATCTTTTATAAACTTGGGAGAAAAGGACTGGAGCTGATGAGGTCAGGATCTGGTGGACCCGACTGCTGTCCTGCATGCGTGGTGGGGCCCAGGGCGCCCGGATCTGATGGGGGGCTGTCACGTGACCCGGGGCCTGGGTGCCTACCCCACCCCCTGCGGACAGCTCTCCCCCCACCCCCCACACCCCCGCCCCTGTGGACGCCGCCGGCAGGTGCTTCTCATCACCCCGCGGCCAGGGGTGGGGGCAGGGGGCAGCACCAGGACATCTGCTCACTATTTCCACAGGATCCCAGATTGGGTAAAGGGGAAATTTGAAAATGTTTTCTTATATTCATAAATTGTGACTCTTTTTGAAAAGTCAGGGGTTATATACTTCTGTTTCTCTTTATCATAATGCTTGCTTTTTCCTCATTTCTTGATTTTTTTTTTCACTTGTACCTGATTTTAGTTATTTTGACTGGCCTGCTTTGTAATGTAAACAAACCATGGAGCAAACCAAACAACTACAGCTAAGGATTTAATCAAAAAACTTCAAAGTCACTACTAGTAATAGTTCATATTTTTTATTGTTTAAACTGATTTTATTACAGTTTTTCTTTACTAAAGATAAAAGCCATGCATGGTCAAGACAGCAATATCTGAAAGAAGGATGCAAAAGAGTAAGCTGGCCAGTGGTCACCATCCTGCCAATCTGTGGGCACCAACACCACCCCCCGGGCCCCCAGACGGCGCCAACACACAAGCACAGGTGCACACCAGTGCCGTCGCACACGCCCGGTCACACGCCTGCGAACAGCAGCTACGCGGGCGTCTGCAGGGCTCCTCTCCCGGGGCTGCTGACCAGCCGCCAGCCGGCAGGTGTCAGTTGCTCCAGCCCAGCCCATCAGACTCGCAGGTTGTTCCAGACCTCT